CCACTCTGAGTTAGACGTAGTGCATCTTCAGATTATGCTGGTTACCGTTTTGTTGACGGCCTTCGATCAATGAGGTTTTTCCTCTCAGATTTTTGATTTCCTGAATATGTTTGTATAATACAGCAGACGAGTCGTGGCTGATCGATGAGTGGGGGTGCATGAGCCTTGAAAACTTTCCTAGAGAGTCACCGATCGAATAGTACTCAGTTAAATTTGTTTTGGAGACTGTATTTGAGGCGAAAGGTGCATTTTTTACTAAATTTGATGTTAAATATTTTTTTAAATGTTCTTTGTATAGAACGGAAGGTTCAGTTTGCAGTCAGAATTAAGAGTGAGAAAGCTCATTATTTGGTGGTAGATATATAGCAAAAAATCAAAGATTTTTTCTCGCAGTATAACGATAAAAACAACATAAAAACTGACGTGGGTTTCAAAATTTCAAAAGCTGCTGCAAGGACAAAGATCGGGGCTGTGAAATGACTGATTAAGAACTGTTGAAAAGAAAATGTTCAAGGAGCGTCTAATTACATTTATTCTAAGAGAGAAGAACCGATGTTAAATGTTTACAATAATTTCATGAAGTGAAAAGTCATCTTTGTATGTACGGTGATGCAATGCATCGAAAAGTTTTATTTCGAAGACATTGTGGCAAATCTACATTTAGATAAATAAAAATAAGATAACAAACACATTGACACCGTTTGCTGATCTTAATGTGATGAATTTTGGAAAAATAAAACATGAGAAGAAAAATAAATAGAACGTGCTCGTATGAACACAGAGAGAGGCAACGTTATTTTGAAAAGACCACTTTTTCTAATCGCCCAACTTTGCGTTCCAAATGCACGAAATTACATGCTGTATGTTTAAAGTTATCTGTTTATTTGTCCGGTTGATTATAAAGTAACAATAAGAAAGATGTTTTTCTCTTAAATGAAATTAGTATTTATGCCAATAGATGAATAGAGCAATGAGTGTTAACATTAAATTAATTGAAGTAAATAATGTTTTTATAGATCCACATGTTGCTTCAACGGTATTTCCAGTTAAACAATCATTAGGATTACGTACACTACATGTACCTTGATTACATGTACCATCGCCACATAATTGTCCAATATCATTTGAACTGACTTGTGTTGCTATACAACCATTACCTTTACAACATTTACATAAACATCGAATACCTGTTGCATATGGTACATTGATTAAACAAATGACCAATAAGAATAGTACAATAAATTTCATCATATTTTAATTCATATAATTAAATTAATCTACAAAAAGACCAAAAATAAATTTAACGATCATGATTATTTCCATACTACACGGAAGTTACAGATTCAAACTCATGCCTTATCCTTTCAACTTGGCTAGTTTCATCTCTCCTAAAAGCTGATATAAAGAAGAAAAGCGAACACTGCTGTATCTTAGTATCAAGTTTTCTCATCATGAAATTGAAGGGGTTAAAAATTATTTCAAAAACTACTGTCAGATCAACCAATGCCAACTCATTGAGAGTTGAATTCACCGACAAATCTTAACGATTCAGTCGCGATTCGTCGAGATGTTAATTAATTTTCTTGATTCGTCGACACTTTACAGTTCACAGATATCTTGCATCTCCCCTTCTAAAATGTTGTCGACGAGTCGAAAAAAAATTAATGTGTTGACGAATTGGGAATATACCATCTAAACGGCTATTAAACTCTTGGGTACGAAGAACCTCTTTTAGTCTACAATTTTCACAGATACGTCTAAGTCTATGATGAAAGAAATACTGAAAAGGTGCATCTTAAACACATTCCCTTTTACTTATCTTATGACGATAATGTGATGTGTAATAAAGTTTAACTTCCTATATATATGTGTAATGAAGAATGAATAGTATATAGAGAGAATATATATGCATAACCTTCAAAATAAACAGAGTTATAATCGGTAACGGCGAACGCCTGAGTCTTTCCTTTCCAGTAAGACTTCTCTGAGAACAGTTTAATTCATAATTACAAACATATTTATATTTTTGTTTTATAATACGAAAAATTGAACCAATAGAAATATATTTTATCTTTCACTGACTTTTCTATATATGAAAGATTATTCAATTCATGAATTAGATTAGTTTTTTCATTGGGACTATCTATATAGTTTTTGTTTTCGGTAAAATATCGCGCGATTAGAGATTGCAAAATAAACCAGATTTATTTGTATAAAGTGTAGAGCCCAGTGGGACTGAGTTTTTTCGTCCTAATCCCGCTCCCGTCCCGTAGGGCTGAAACCCGGTCTCGATTCCGAAATATTCTTTTTTGCAAATCCCAATCCCGTAGGCATAATTACAATCCCGTTAAATCCCGAAATTTTTTTTTGCTAAAATACAAACAGCTGTCGCTCGTGTGCGACAGGCTGAAAGAAAGAATCTGATTGACTATCGTGTGAGGACGACAGTTTCTTGTGTGTGTTTAATTGTTTACTTTATCGGTGAAAGAAGTTATCTGCTAATAACAGCTACCAATAGCAGATAACTTCAACATTCGTTGAAAGCTAGCTGGCCACCAAAAGTAAGATATGTAAAAAGCTCAGTATATGGCCTCTCTAACCAACAGAAGAGTGTATGGAAGTCCATGTTTTCTCTTCAGTCTTTTTTTATACAGTCAAATTTTATAAATTTTTGGAAACCAACTTCTACACATAGAAACAACGGATAGCGCATTCATGGGGGAGAAAGAAATAAGGCAGGCGTGCGTGGAAAAAAACTAATGTTTCCTAAAAGTCAAAACGCGTTTTCCCGTAGAAAATAGTGTGATTTTGCACCATGAACACAAAAACGGCCAAGTATTGTCATACAGAGCTAAGAAGTAGACTTTTAAAAACGTTTCGTTCAGGGAGTAGTCCCAATCCCTTACGGACTACGAGAGACACTTCTTATGATCCCGCTCATTTACACTAGACAAAATAAAAACCTTTTTCAGACTACCCTTGGAACGACGACCCAATTCAGCACTTCCATCAGGGGCTTTTTCTTCACAGAGAAAAACAATTCTTATATTATACAACCTTAGATCATTATTTTTCGTTAGATAGTTTCCTATTCAAATAAAACTATTTTAACACACGGTGAACAATTCCGAAGTGTGTAAAACAAATGACACACTAAAAGCGAAAGCAGTCGTTTCATAGTCGTCATACAGTTCAACGCACTTTGGTTACAGGGTGAGGATAATAGCAGCAACACAAAGCTGCTGTTATACAAATAAACAAGCAAAACTCGCTGTGGAAGTAGACAAAAGAAAAATGAACCATCAGAAAGTCGGAATTTTTTAGAGATAAGCATTTCTTCTTCTTTCTTTCCTTTTTATTTGGTAAGAGACCATGCTACATAAAAAAAGTTCAGACATAAGAATGACTGCTAACGGAAAAAATAAACATGTAATTCAAAGTTTCTACATATCATGACCAACAATTAAAAATAGCAACAACAACCGGAAAGTTGGAATTTTGTACAGATGAGCATTAGCTAGACATGTCATATGTCATCTGCAGTTGTGAAAGTGTGTATCAGTTTAGACAAGAAGTCATTTTCGGGTCAAGAATCTCTTTTGTTCGTAGATGGTATTCAAGCTGAGCAACTACTTTCTTAATTGAGAAAGAACAGTTACATGCTGTAGCCTTTTTTAGATGAAAGTGAAAATTACCCCGTAAATAAACATCAAAGGTCTATTCATGCATTTTACTTGATCAAAAGTGTTCTAAATTATGTTTGCTTCTCGCTTAATATGTGGTCTGACAGATAAGTGTATCCGCTTCAGCGACGCCAATGCACTGAAATATTAAAAAAGTGATCCTCAAATTCACTGGATGAAATTTTGAATTTTAAACAAGCTACAAATAACATTCCCTTTCCTTCTTCTGGCAAAGCACTAGTACTGAGATATTCTAGACGAGTGCTCAACACTGCACATTAGTGGTGTGCCCAGAAAACAGAAGCTCTTTTTGAGGATCGTTACTTTAATATTTCAGCGCAAGGTAGTTCTTTTCGAAGTGTAACAGACTTTACATCGATTTTCTACCAATAGTACGGTAAACTTACTTCCAAGGTTAGTAGAACTCATCACTGTGATCACCGAAATCGCCTCTAAAACGTTTCAAAATGACCGCATCGTCCCCAAGCGAAGGTAACAAAAGACTTTCACGCAAAATTACTTCTGCTGTTGACTTTGCCATTTCAAAACATCAAAATTTTAACAAATACTACTCACCAAAATGAACATCCGTAGCTAAAAGGTTTTTTCTCAGTGTTTCGCTTCTTTAAGAAAAATTGTATAAAAGTGTGCTTTTTATGTTTCTCTCATTCAAATGATGTTCTAAGTCTAACTAAGAGTGCTCAGGTGC